GCAGCTTGGAATGCTGTGAGCTGAGTGGAAAGTGAAAGCAGCTTTGCTACGCAGCTGCTGAGAGAGACAGGTCGCAAAATGCAACTTGAATCAGATGGACTGTAAATATGCTATTTTTGAGCAAATAAAGTGCTACTAGGAAAGAAGAAACGTGTGGGACCTATTTACTGACTGCCCTTTCTACACGAACTGCTGTGCAATTCTGCTAATTGCTTTACGACCTGCAGAGGTGCAGGGGAGCGTGCCGGACCAAGAGTAAAGCAATAAATCTTATCCTAACATGGTTATGGACATGGTTATGGGTCAACGTGAAGCGTGAGGAAGGGCTTTGAAGTTTTATCTGCTGATCGTCAGCTTGATCGACTGCCGGAGACTTCAAAGAGGCAGATCGGAGGAGGCTGACGGAGGGCTGGCAGCCAAGAGCCATGACGTCCGGAGTTCCCAGTTTGGCTGAGTGAGTACCTTTGGGAAAAGCCAACAGAAGGGAGGGCAATGGCTCAGCCCTGTGAACATGGCTTTGAGCTTAAGCTGCCATGTCAGAGACTGACTAGCCAAAATTGGCTGCAGTGGAGCTTTCAAGTGGAGCTTTTGCTGGTGGGGGAGCAGCTGTGGAATGTAATTCACCCCACACAGAATGCAGCTGGGAAAGCAGAGGCTGATAGGGCTGCAGAGCAAAGTGAAGTGGAGAAGCGTGTGCTTGCTTTTTGGCAGAAAGTGTGGATGCTCATCTGGTGCCTGTTGTCCTGGGTGCAAGAAGGCCAGAGGCCGCTTGGCTAGCACTCCAAGAAGCTTGTGGAGCTGGAGTGGGAAGCAAGGGCCGAGAAGTGGCTGCATCTGAAAGGGAGAGGCAAGATGGCGCCGGCCACATTCTTGAGTGCCGATACACAGCTGGGCGGAGCTGTGAGCCCCCACAGGGGGGCGAAGGGACTGCTGCTGTTGCTGTTGTTGCTAGCAATGCTGCTTGTGCTTTTGCTGAGCCTGGGAGCTGTGTGAATGCTGCAACGTGTCTGTGTGAGACGCCTGGAGAGAGGCCA